AGGCACCAGCCACATACACCTAAAGTGGTGGGCTTGAGGCTCCGTCTCAAAAAAAAAAAAAAAAAAAAAATAGGTCAGAGTATCGTAGAAGGCAGCTTGGAGTACAGACTATTTTGGAGGCCTAAAATGGGGCATAGAAGAAAGTCTAAGAGATCTTCAGAGGACTTGGAGTCTGTCTGGATAATAGTCTCTGCTTAGATATCCCATAGTTGAAGGCTTCAATAATTCAAAAAGATTCCATTCTCTTTCCAGTATCTTCCTCTAGCCTTCCCCATCTTAGAGGCCAGCATCACCAGGGGGCATCTTTCATTCTACAGGCCTGACCATTTGCTCCTGCTGCAGCAGCTGAGAAAAGCTGCACAGCTGTTGTGCAGAATTCCCCAGTCTCCTGAGACACCATCAGTACATCCTCAAGAGGGGCCAAGAGTGATCTGCTTCTCCAGGGACTCCTCCGCAGACCACTTTCCATGCTCACAGGGTGGTACAGTGAAGAAATACTGTCTTCCCTGACTACAGCTCCAGATCCCAGCCACTGTGCTCCCTCAGCTAACATCACCTCCCCTCCCTACCCCAGGCCCTTCTTGCAAAGCTGGATTGGCTTGCCATTACATCTCACAGTAATCACCAAACTCTCAGAGGAGCTAGTTTGAGGCATGGCTCTAAGCTTTTGAGGGGGATCAGAGTTAATTTCTAACTTCTGACTGGATCTTGAGACTTTTCAATGTACATTTGTTTCTTTAGAGACTTTTCTACCAATTCCTGTGAAGTTAAACTGCAGGAAGAGTCCCAGTACTCATCCTCAGGAGAGTCATAAGCAACATGATGTCCAGTGGCACAATTTCTAATTCAGAAAAGCAACAAACGAACTCTTTCTTCTTTTCTCTGAAGGGGAGGCCTCTGGCCACTCAGAGTCCTCACTTGTCATGCTGGGTTATCACCATTTCATTTGAATCACAAAACAAATCTCAGATAGATTAAAAAAAAAAAACCCAGAAGGTAAGAAATCAACAGATCAATGAAGCCAAGGATTGAGGCTGATATTCTGACATTCCTTTAGTATTTACAGTCAAAGAAATGGGAAGTTGTACATCAGAAAGCTCGATCAGATTCTTACATTTCTATAAAGATAGCTATAAAGGCTGTGAATTTAAATTTAAACCTAGATGTGGCAGACTGTATTCTCTAAAGAGGGCCACACCAAAATAACCTAGTCCCCATGGTCATCTTACAAACTCTTCAGCTAAACCTCTATTAAGAGGTGGAATCCATCTTCCATTCTCTTGAATCTGGGTGAAATATATA